CAATCATGATATATCTAGGCCCGACCCTATCATACCCTCCCTGATATCCCACACCCTCATGGAAATCAAAGGACTTAGGTTCAAACATTATGATCCATTTTAGTGATAATTCAAAGTCCTTTAGCCCGAAAGGCCAAAATAACTTTCGTTTTGACCTAAGGGTTCCGCTAGCCAACCCCCACTCCGTCCAACCCAACCCTAAACATCCAAATATATTTCATTTCTTTTTGATATCCAAAATAAAGCCTCTTCTATCTATTTTAATCCCTGGTCACAATAGGAAACCAAAACAGCCCCATTCATCTTCCAACATCCACCCAACATGGTCCCTACTATGTTCCCTAGTACAACCCACTAAACAACCATAAAATTCCAGGAGAAACATGGTACTTTCTTAACCCTTTAACCACCAAATAAATCCTCATATATGCAGCCAAAGTACCACATTATCCTTTCCCTTTGTCCCCCCTAGTTGGCTGAACACATCCCCCCAAATCAGCCCAAAAGAATGCTATCCATTCCCCTTGTTTGCCTTTCATTGGAGACCCTACAACCACACCCATCCCTGAAATTATTCCAATAAAAGGACCTAAAACATGGCTGATATTTCAAGGCTTTGAGAGAGGATGTTGCTAGGAAGTTTCCTTATGTCTACATTCAATGTATTGTGTATTTCTTCCCCCTTCCCCTGCCTATATAATCAGGCCCTATTGCCATTGTAAACACAGCTTTGAACATTGAAAATCCTTTACTCTTTGAGTATCCATAAAATAGTGTGATGCAATTTTAGCCAAATTCCTAATTCTATATCTTAAGAGTGGTTATCTTAAGTGTGAGTTTTAGGTTATAGATATTTGATTAAGTGTGTCATATCTTAATTAAATTCTAGATTCAAACCCCAAGTTAGGATAAGAGTGTGTAATATCTCTTAAACACCAACTTGGTTTATCCATCCCTGATTTTCTCCCATCTCATATCCCTCCATTTCTCCTTCTTAATCCTATTCTTTTCTTCCATAAACTACCAAAAAAGAACTCCTAAAACACCCTCCATACTTTCGCCCACTATTTCCCTTCCATTTTCCTCCGCAAATCTGCCACTAAATTATCAACTTGATTAGACCCCTGGTTCACCCCTAACAAATCATGACCAGAGACATTACAAAAAAGTTTTGTGAATTATTCACATATAGTGTGCGAACTCCTATTTTGGGGGATAAAAACATAGAGCTCCTATTTTGGTAATTTATCTATGTTTTGCTCCTATTTAGGATAATTTCTTTCATAACAAGTGATAAACTTGTCACCACCTCAGATTTGATCAAGGTTATAGGTGAACACATAGAGCAAATAGGTGAAAATATCATGAAATTAAATCTGACAAGAACAAGGTATTTCTGAGCCAGAAACAAAAAAACATAAGCATAAAACTACAGCTATGAAACTGTGTATTCCTATTCAAATGGGTGCCCAAAGTTCTTTTCCAAAAAAATACAGTATATAGCAAGACCTTGTATTTTACATATTCTGTGAAAGATCATCAAAATAATTTTGCAAGTTTGTTCCATGCGTAGTATTACATACTACTTCTAACTCGAACTTAATGTTACGCACAGTTCAACTAAGATTCATCAGGATCAAGTTTCAACATTCAACCTGAATGTCACAAAACAATAAGGTATGTGGCAGGTAGCGAGTTTATGAATATGAATGAGATGATGATGGTTATAGGACAAAGACCAAGTAGGAAAAGTACATGTGTGTACCATTTCCACAATATTAGCAAAATAAATGGTGGGTTACCTGAAATATAGTCATCCTTTCCGTCCTGGCTAACTTTACCATTGACCATCGTACCCACCTGACATGACAAATTATCACATTAGCTGCATAAAAGAGATCCATCAAGAGGCAGAGAGGTGTGCACTATAAGGTGCAAACACAAAATATAAATGGAGAGAGAAATACCACAAAAACAATGTCCTGTTCATCTGGCAGAGTAGAAACATAGTCCTCTATATCAACCACCTTCTCTGAACTATATGATAGGCCTAGCATGTGTGACAAAAGTTAGTCACTTGCTCTAGCCACATATACTACAAATGGAAACAATATATGTTTCTTATAGGAAGAAAAGTTGACAAGAGCTCACCAATTACACGAGCATTTTCAGGTATATGCTGTGTCAAAGACCCTTTAAGGACTCGGATAAGAACTTCTCCAGTATCTTTGGCACGGACACAAGACTTCTGGAACAGCTCCACTATATATATTGCAAAGTGAGCACTTAGTCAAAACACAAATTGAGAACCTTGAAAGATATCTTAGGACAGTATAGAATAAAGAATGTGTAAAATTCAACTTCAGCTCAGGGAATACTAGACAGATTCTAAGCCTAAAGGAATCATGTCTAGTGATTTTTCATGTCACTAGCTTACACCGGCATAAAAATACTTGCACATCTTGCTATCTTTACTTTAACAAAAACTTACCCATGAGGCCACAGAACCGTTTGCACGTTCTAGGTATACGAGTATGGGGCTTGACCTCGAAAACAACACCAGAACTAGTTCTGGCATAGACAGCTCCAACCATTCCTACTTTATTTAGTGGGCTATCTAAGATTGCCCGAAGTGCCTGCACATCAAAGGCCATCCACAGTTATGAGATTTTTACACACATAAAAAAAAAAGCACTAAAGCGCAATGGTTCGATATTGTGACAAAATGTATACAATCGTGAAGAATTTTGTAGTGAAACAAGGCAATGTTGATCATCACAGATGGAACATGCATCATACGAAGGGATAAAAGGAGAGCAGAGGTTCAAACCTCGAAAAAAATGTCAGGACGATAATTGTTTGGATTTTTCCCCTGCTTTAACATGAAGGTGCTGTCTTCGCTAGAACTCAGAATCTTACGTTTCTAACAATTCAATAGGTATGGAACAACAATTAACACCATCGGTTATAAAGCAACGCGATAAAAAACCTAGAATTGAAGGGAAATTATCTCCTACCTTGTGAACAAGGCCTACTTCAAGAGAGGCATCTTCCAGGATGAAGATGGGGCGGGGTTTCACTGTATGCGCACCGGAAACTTCATGCGTAATTTCGTTGATTACTTCACTCGTCGCCCCTCCGCATTCGCTGCTCCGGTTCTCGTCGTCGCTCTTGTTTGATTCAACAATCTCTTTCCTTTTTTGCTTCCCCATCATCTCACCACTAGGGCTTTACCTTCAGAGAGACCTTGCTTTTGGTTCTGAATTTCTGATCAGTGAACGCTTGTTGAGAGTGTTTAAAGAAAAAAAAAGGAATTAAAAAAAAATATGAAAGAAAAAAATTTAGGATGTGTTTTGTTGATAAGAAAATACTATGGAGTATGTTTTTTTATAAAAAAAAATCCAAGAATGAACTCCCTGACAATTTCCATTGTTTTGTAGGAATGTAATTATTTCACTAAAAAAATATTTTTAATTGTTGAGAGATCAAAATTGATATTTAAATATGTTCAAAAGTAAATTTTAAAATATTTTAGCAATATGAGGGTTGATGGTATAGAGTCGGGTGTTGGCACGGAATAAGGAATGAAGAAATAAGACAGACGTCACATGTTGACGAGTGAAAAATGTCAGTACGTTGGAGATAAGAGGTTGAGGATTGGGTAAAAAACCAAATACGGAGTATATTAATGTGTAAAGGAAAGTCGAGCTGGGTATTTTAAGATGTGTAGAGATAATTCATCCGTCTAAGCTACTAAACTTATTGTTCCAAAAGTCACACAACAAGATATATATCTACTGTGTTGGTTTGATTAAAACTTCTAGTTGTTTATAGAAAGAAACATAAGTAGTATGTAAAATACTTGTTTTACGATCTTATTAAAATTCTCAAAAAATAATTAAATTTCTTGTGTTTTATCTAAAAATTAATTAGAATACTTATACCAAAAAATTATTTAAAAAAACACCTAAAAAAATTATTGTTCGTCTCAGCCTAGGCCATCGAATTCTCAGGATCGCCCATGGTATGAGAGACAAGGGGTAGGGGTGGCGTGGAGGGCATTGGGTCGTATGGTAGGAGAGGGAGGGTGGTATGGGTTGGGATAGGGGTGGGTGAGTTCGGGTATGTAGGTGGCGGATAAGGGCAGGGGGGAGTGAAAAGAAATTTTTTCTTTGAAAAGAAATGGAATCTATTTTCTCTAGATGAGAAAATATTTTCTTACCACTTACATTATCAAACAAAAAAATGACTTGCCTTAATTGAGAATAATTCTTAGTTCAATCTCTTAAAATTAACTAATGACTGATATGATATTAGTTATTTGAAAAAAAATTTAAGTTCGTCCTCTCAACTAACAGTCATTAAAGCGGTATTAAAATAATGTTAAACACTATACTAATTTCATATAGTACTTCGTAAGTGGATGATTTCTTAGATTGATCTATTTTTGAAATAAAAATACATTAAATATTGATAAACATATTCAATTTTATAAGATGATAATAAAGACTATAAATATAATTTTATAAATTTGAAAGTAAACATTTTAAACTATATATAATTATTTAAAAGAATATCGTGTAAATAAATTATTTAATAAGCACTATTTATTTGTTCGCCCAATTTTGAAAAGGCTTGTTTTGATTTACGAGTTTTGAGTCAAATTATTTTTAAAAAATTATAATTAAAAATTGATTTAGAATTTCAAAATGTATATATTAAAGAAATATGTACAAAGTTCTACAAAATACGACATGACTCTTGTTTTGTAGAACTTTTTGTATGCTTTTTTTTTGAAATTCTAGATTTTTTAGTTATAATTTTCAAAAATAATTTTAGTAAGACATCGTAAACAAAAACAATAGCCTTATTTTAAAATTAGGGGACCAAACATATAATGTTTATTAAACATTTTATTTACATGATATTCTTCTGAATAATTGTAAATAATATAGTCACCCTATAAAATAAAAATATTTTTCCATACTTAATGTATTTTTATTTTAAAAATGAACCAATTGGAGAACACGCCTAGTAACAAAGTACCATTTTGGAAATTTCTTATCGAATTTAATGTTGTTTTAATGATCGTTAGTTAAAAGACTGAACTAAAAAATATTATCAATCAACGATTATCGTCTCAATAGCTAGTTAATTGTGAGGATTCATATAAAAACACATAATTATTGAATACTATTTTCAAAAGTTAGTTTATGTTTATATAGTTGTCCAACCATTGGAACACATGAATTATTGGATCAACGATGTTGACATAAAATTTTGAAATATTTATGTAAGAAAATAAAATTATATGAGTAATAATGTGATTTTTTTAAAAAAGTATTAGTACATCTAGATTTTTAATTTAAAAAAATAGAATTCAGGGCTTTTTAAAATACGAATAAAAATCCAAATACTCGAAGTCCCAGGCAAATTCTTCGGTGGAACGCCCACACTGCCCAACTCGGCCTTTAGCGCGAGCCCGCGATAGCTTTCCCGCAAGGACCTGGTCGACGACCCCGCAGGATTCACCAGTCGCCGCCATATTAACCACCAGTACCCTCCTTGTTCTTCCTCGAGGTTTTTTTTTTTTGTAAGAACCCACTTTAATGTTTCGTCCTAGTCGATTAAATTGGTGATTATGGGTTATGGGTATTTTACATACTACTCCGTAGATTTTTCGATGCCTATATGTTAGAGTTCCAGTGGTGTGATGAACTTTGGGATAGTCATGTCGTAGGTAATAGGTATGTGCGAGGAAAAAGTCCTTAATTGCGCTTGCTCAGTGTGTTTAGAGTAAATATATGGATGTTTCGTGTAAAGGTAAATTCAATTAGGGTCCGTTTGGTACACAGAATTGACGGAATTGGAATTGAAATTCTATGAAATTGAATGTGATGGAATTGAATTCTCCAATTATAATTCATTTTTTGCACCACCAATTTCAAATCTACATAACTTTTTGCTATCAAACACCAGAATTGGAATTGAAGTTCTCAATTTCAATCATATAACTTAATTCCGTGTACCAAACAGAGCCTTAGTTGATTTTTAAGTTTTATAGAAAAATGTCAGCGTAATACTCCCTCTTACCTATTTTGTTGTTTATCAAATGAAAGTATGAAGAATAAATAGAAACTTCCCAAAATGGGAAGTTTGAAGAAAAAATATGAATGGAGGAAGTATAAATTAACATTTGATTTATGATGATGATGTTATGAGTAATGGTATTTGGTAGATTTTGTGCTACTATTAGTATGGCTAAGTTTTTGAGTTAGTTGGTGGAGGTTTTAATATGTTAGGAAACTAAGTTGTGAAGTCTAAGCTTACCTGTGTTTATTCACTAGTATGGGTATGCATGTAGCAAACTCATGCTTGTTGAGTGTCTTTTAGTGATAGGATATTGCAAGAGGCTTCTTTTTGACGTGTCTAAAATATTTGACTGAAAGTGTTAGCTTCGGTGATAAATAGTTGTGGAGGATGTAAATTGTTGTGGGTACTTGTGAGAGTATATTAAGGAAGTTTTTATTATGGTCTTGTGTGAAAGTTCTTGGCTTCTTGCTGTATTGCTCTAAGTGCCATGTCTTTATTAAAGTAGCGAACTAAGTGGTGAATGCCTATGAGTGATGGATAGTAATGTGAGTATCGTGCTGCTTGATGTTGTAATAAATATGTTTTATTGATGGGCCTACGTGTATTGTGAATATTATGGAAGTTGGGATCGATAAGTAACATGGTTCTAAGGATATGTGATATTGTAGTCAATTTTGATTTGTAGAGTTTAATGTTCTGTGTGAGGGAGCTAGGGATTCGAATGTCTGGGCTTATGTTTCGTAAAATTTGGGGAAAATTGCCTTAGCAAATATTTATTAATTGTTGCTTTATTCTTCTACTATATCATACGGAGTATCATTCTTCATCTTGTAATTTTGTTGTTCACATGGCAATTGATGCATTTCCAGTCCCTCTCCTACATATTTTATTTCCCAATGGGTATTGAAACACCTATATACTCTGTCTATCAAGACCCTTTGTTCTCAGCCTCTCCAACATGTTCTCTTTAGATTTTGTATCTGGGGCAATTGTTAATCATTTGAAATTGAATGATCTGATGTTTTAGCACTTGGTGTTTTGGAACGATTGCCAAGCTCATGGACATAGCTGTTAATTGTTAGATATTGTAGACTGAAGCAAAAAATGATTACTTTTTTTAAGATTTGTGGTAAGTTGTTAGGCCATTAACTTATTGTTCTCCGGTTTAGTTTGATGGAGCACCCTAGGATTGTGGCTTATGTCTACCCTTGCTCACTATCACAATGACTACTTATAACTCCTCATGGATTTCCCATTTTCCCCCATTTTTCTTATTATTTTGATTATCATTACTGAAAACATTGAAGTGTACTTCAATGTTGAGTTTAGGTTCAATTATGCTGCTCTAGGGGCCCATTTTACTTTTCTCGCCCAGGCTCTAGGACCAGCCCCCATATTAAATAGTGCACTGCAAGGAAAGACAAGAATTTGATGATGTGTTACTGTAGTAGAAGATGAAGAAAGATTAAAGAGGCACTGTGGAGGAGCGAGAGAGATGGCATTAAATGCAGGTTGAGAAAATGTGTGAGGGTTTTTTGGCGGTTTGGTGGTGTTTGGGCCTAGTTATAAAGCCCATTTCAAAATTGACTATATTTAAGAGAGTTCTATAGGCGAAGAGCAGTTTAGGCAGGCAACAACTAGTATCCAATTCGACCCATGAAGGGTAACCGTGTCCAAAATTTGCTAAAGTGTCTCATGAATTTCTGCCCGTGCTCAGAATACTAGCTAGACATGGAAAAAACAAAACCGAACCCCAAAATCCGACTTATAATGCCCGTACCCGTACCTGAAGAATAGACCTGATATGAATAGACCCGGTTTCTAGATCACCCAAATCAAATCCGACCTGAACAGACTAGTTTCAATAACAATAATGATTATTACAGTATATAATAAGCGTATTTACATCAATATTATGATACCCGAATACCCGATTCAGAACTTAATAGAAATGACTCAACCCAGAATCGGCTAAGCAAAAATCGAGACATCCAAATTTATACCCGAACCAAAATAGACTCCGATCAAAATAGAACTGATAGCCCCATAGTGCCAGTTCTAATACCGCCGTCTGAAAAGTATTGAACGCGAGAAAGTCCTGGAGAATAAAGGTGGTAGACAACATCTTTTTGTGTATATTTTATCGGCTTTGAATTATTCTTGTTGATCCTTTAATTAGGTAAGAAAGTAAGATTTCATGTCGAATAATATTTACTAGGTCTCTGTTTTTTGTTGACTTGATATCACATGTTATAAGTATTACTTAAGTCTTTTGATTTAGCTAACACCAGCTTAGCATACCCTGTTCTCTTGAATCCAGGATTCACCCTCTCTCTCTCTCTGTTTTGCCTCTCCTACTCCTCAAGTCAATGGCAGATCCCGAATCCAGGTGTGCACCCTCTCTCCCTATGCACAACGGTTGAATTTGATTTAAATATATATTCTTTACTAGTTTACTTCCCATCTATCTTGATCCCTTTTATCTCATGTTTTGTGTTAGATGGATGCAAATTTTTTGTCTGTTTTTTTTCACCTTGTTTGTTTGTTTTACCAAGTGTTTCATGTTATGTCTGAAGTGGTACTCCTAAATTGAGCAAGACAATATACACATTGTGTATGTTATGCATGTTGTATCCCTATGTTTGTTATTTTGCCGATTGGATATTTGTTTTCTTATTGGCCACGTTTTATTGTAGGAGCTTTTAATCTAATGCAATATTGTCCAATATTTTCTCTCGAAACTTGCCCAATTTACGGGGCTTGATATGAATTTAAATAGTACTAATGAAAATGCAATGGAGGATTGTTTGGTTGATGGGTCTTTTGAAGTGTGCTAATTGGGAATGGTAGACACGTAGGCCATGTTCTCTTCACCTAATTTGATTGGTTCTGATCTAATTGGAATAAGTTCTAATCTGATTTGGACTGATTTGAATGTAGTTATATTTAAAGCTATTTCTGATCTGATCTGGTTTGGTCTGATTTGGTTCCAATAAGAATAAGCAATAAGTAAAAAAATAAGTTGAAGAGAACATGGCAGTAGACTTGACTTATTAAGGGTTTTCCCCCCACCAACAGCAAGGCACATGCTGTGGTGGCTGCTTGGCTCCGAGGAGTGTGTGCGCGAATTGATACCAATAGAATTTAGTCTATGTTTACTAGGATCCAAAAACGAAAGCGAAAGTCAACATCCTTGCAGTCATGCTCTACCAAAAAGAGGGCTGAGTTCATAAATGATGGCAAAGAAGGTCTGAACAATAAGGCGTTAAATTTGGTGGGTGTTTGTGATAGTGAAGTGAGGCCTGATGAATTCAAACAAGGAGATGAAGAAAGTGGTCTTGTGGGCATTCCTATGCCAATCCCTGGCCATTCTGATCATCAAGGAAGTGTTACATTTGTTCTTGAGGAGGCGTCATTAACACTTGCTTATATTGGCAAGGTAAGTGCATCTTCTTGCCAATAGTTCACTCTTTCGTCTTGGTAGGCGTATGATTGTATTTGATATTGTTTTCTAGTAATATTCTAACTGTTCTTGTTACAACTCTCAGAGGTATCAGATACTTTCTTCTGATGAGCATGCTGATTATTTGCGGAAAAAGAAACTGAATCCTTACGACTATCGGCCTGACATAGTTCACGAGGTCTCTCTGCTCTTCTGCTCATTTCTTGTCTGTATTGTGGACCACTTTGGACTGCTTTGCATTCTCCATTTGTGCTGCCTGTATCTTCAGTGCTCACACTTTTACAAAGTAGATGGGGAATAGAGGGGGTAATTGTGATGCCGTCAGAAATGTAACTAGAGAGCGCTTCGCGCTTGCATATATAAGAAAGACAATTTAGCGGGCAAGTTTGCTTTATTCCATCGTGCACTGGTAGTTATAAACAAAGCAAAATGTATTGGTAATGAGAGTACAGATGGTCACTAACATAGCATTCTTTATCAATTGCTATTGCACTCACTTGTTACCCGTGTGCTTGAAATGCTCCCACACGTGACACGTTGCATAGTAAAGGGGGTAGGATGTAAGCAATTTTACTTGTGTACTAAGAAATAGAGAAGTTGTTTCTCGATAACCCATGATATAAGTCGATACAAAGGTTACATTCTGCTTTCTTCTATATTACTACAAAGCGAAGAATTATTGAATCTTTGGCTCCCGCTGGAATCAATAGGGAAAGAAAACTTCTTCCTTAACTCGGTTCCGAAGATTCAATCTGCGAGCGCCTTTCCATTTGTAGTTTAATTAATAAAAGGATAAATGCAATTTCCCTAGAGAGAACAGAATAAGAAGAAAATTTCCTCTTTTTTTTGGGAAAGGATTGGGGATTTGGGCTTGTATAGTCTCAATATATTTGGGTATTACTATATCCGTTTCCCTTTATTCTTCACACCTCTCTTTGAAACACGATTTAAGGCAGGAAATTAATGCTCATTTTCCATTCTTCACATTCTATGCTTTATTGTTTTGCTTGAAATTGAACTAATGCTCTGTTCAGGCACTCCTTCAAATTATGGATAGTCGACTTCGTATGGCTGGCCGGTTGAGTGCAGTATACATCAAGACAAATGGTGGAGCTTTGATCAAAGTAGAGCCATTTGCTCAGATTCCGAGGACTTTGGCAAGTTTCTGTAACATGATGGGTAAGTCGTTTTCTTCTGTTTGATGTAAAAAGGTTTGAGACCACCTCATTGCCTTTATGTTTGCCCTTCATATTTTCCAGCCCGTACCTTCTAACATCTGTAATGCTGCAGCTGAATTGCTTCAAAAGCTCAGCATCAAAGCAAAGGGCAAGGGTATAAAGCTGTTGCGCCTGGTGGACAATCCAGTGAAGAAGCATTTACCTTTCAACTCATACAAAATAGATGAACATGTCGACTAACACAAGAGTGAAGTTGTTTGTGGCTTTGGTAGTTCCTAATATAACTTGTGCCACTTCAGGTCTTTCATTCAGCTCAGAGAAAGCAGTTCAACTGCGGGATTATATTAAGGGAATCCGTAGCAATAGTGATGTGGTGTTTCTGGTGGGTTTCCGTACACCTTGACTTCGTTGAGTTTTACTTAGCCTGTTGGCAGTTCATGCTTTATAAAAACGAGTGATCTCCTGAGAATTTTCAGGTTGGTGCAATGGCTCATGGTAAAATTAAATGTGATTACATCGAAGACCTTGTATCAGGTATCATGCTTAATAGATTTCTTGTTTTTATGTGTGTTTTTCATGCACTGATAATGGAACTAGTAATGTCCCTTGTTCACTTATTTGCAGTGTCTCCCCATCACTTGAGTTCAGGGATTTGTTTGAGACGTATTAGTACTGCCTTGGAGAGGATGTGGAGCATTTTATGAAGCGCGCCGAAGCGGCGTCTCTTTTCTGTTCCATCTAGCACACTTCTGATTTATCATTATATACCTTAACACTTTATTTATGGGTTTTTTATTGACCTAAAAGGGTGGAGGTTATTACATGAGTTTTGTAATGAGCCTAGAGCAGAATTAATTTTTGCCCTCATAGAAAGAGGTGAAACAACTTATTGAGCACATATAAATGATATATTTGGCTCTGTTGATCGACTAGAAAAAGTTGCTGTTTTTTTTTATGTTTTTGCTCTTTGGTGTTTGTTTAAGAGGGTCAACTGTGAAGCGAAAACAGAAAATGAGTTGTAGAACCTAGAAACTAGGGGTGTTCATTCGGTAAAACCGAACCGAACCGAACCGAACCGAAATTTCGGTAAACTGAAATTTCGGTAATTTATTTTTTGTACCAAATACCGAACCGAAATCAAATACTCCCTCCGTCCTACTGTCTTTGTCTACTTACCGTACCCTTTAGCGCACCATCCAATGCATTTCTTTAATCCATTTTATCTTGCAATTTGTATATTAAAAAATTATAAAAATTATACATTAATAATCTATATGTTAAGATGAATCAAACAATATCACACATGACTATTTTTAGGCTTACACATTGAGAGAATTGGATGAGTCAAAGTGCTTGGATGAACAGTTCCAAAAGTCAAAACTGGACAAAGACAATGGGACGGAGGTAGTAGTTTGGTTCGGTAAAAACCAAATTAAATCAGTTTGGTAATCGGTTTTATCAAAAACCGAACATAAACCAAAATTTGAACTTTAAAAAATTCATTTCATTCTCCAAATTGAGAATAACAAAGCATAATCCATTATATATAAATACATTACACACTCCAAAATTAAAATAAAGCAACACAATTAGAACCATTACATAAATTAAACAAAATAGTTAATACAAATAACAGAATTGTCCATTCCGAAATATAAAAACATTTACCGGTATTATTAATTTGATGATTTTATGATTTCCAAATTTAGATAATACTCCCTCCGTCTCACTGTCTTTGTCCACTTACCTTTTGGCACACCATCCAATGCATTTCTTTAATCCATTTTATCTTGTAATTTGTATATTAAAAAATTATAAAAATTATATATTAATAATCTATATGTTAAGACGAATAAAAAAAGATCACACATGACTATTTTTAGGCTTACACAGTGAGATAATTTGATGATTCAAAATGCTTAGATGAACAGTTTCAAACGTCAAAACTGGACAAAGACAATGGGACGGAGGTAGTAGGACTTAAAATTAGTGGGGTGAATATTCATTATTTCAATATTGAGATAAATATTGGGAATTGAATTGAGTAGCAATGGATAAAATTATAAATAAGTATTAAATAATTTTGGCATTCGGTTTTTACCGAAATACTGGTTCGAAATTTTGTACCTAATCGAAAACCGATTTTTTTAAAATATGAGAACCGAATACCGAATCGAATTATTCGGTTCGGTTTCAGTACATACCAAATTGTTCGGTTTTAGTTCGGTTTACCAAATTGTGCACGCCCCTACGAGAAACATTTCTCTAGCAAGTTGGTTAGACCAATTTAACTTGCTAAATCTACTTCAATTTTTGACTCCAATATTTCTTTTCATATTCGAAACTAAAGTATGATAGTACTCCGTATATAGCTAGGAGAGGAATAAATATTTTGGAAGGTAGATTGGCGAAACTAACTATTTAAAGGAACACAAACCTTATTAAACCCTAAACTATCTACAGGAAGGAACAAACGCACGATTAATTGGCAGAATTGCATGGATATGGCTACGGTTATTCTTCGATTTCCCCCAGTCTCTTTGCTCAATCCTTTTCGTCTCTATCATAATTATTGTTATTCGTTTTTTGAGATCTCCGTGGAACAAATAAAGTTCCATCACGGCGTCCTCTGGTGTAACGGATTCGTGGCATACCCGGTTCGGATTGGGCTTAGATCCGACGAATCGGTGCCCGATTAATCGATTTTTTTTATATTTTTTATTTTTATTTATTTACCGTACCCAGCCCTAGCGAGCCGCCATAGAAGAACTTCCGGCTTCTGCGACCAAAGAGTTCCAGCCTTTGCCTTAGTTCTCCCACCAAATCCTTTCGTTGTCTTTACTTCAAATAATTTTAGTTTGGCTCTGCGATTTGCTTTGTTGTTATGTGTTGTTGGATATATTTTTGCTGACAGTGTTTTTCTGTTCTCAGAATATGTCCGGCTGTTTGGGTTAATTTGTTTTTATGGTTGTTTTCATTTTTTTTTTGACTTTGGTTGTTTTCATTATTGTTATTGCTGTTTGATTATATTGCTGTTTTTATCTTTTTTTTATTCTTTTTTACTTTTCTACGGAGTATGTCATTTAATGTGTTTGTCAATCTTATTTGTTTGATATTATTTCAGTAATAATAAGTAATAATAAGTAATACGAAGTAACAATAAGTTGGGAAAGAACACGAAATTTCACTGAATAATAAATAGTACGGAGTAATAGGTAATAAGAATAAGTTGATTTTGAATATGTTCGAAATCAATACATTGTTTATAAGAACGGATTATTCACTCATCCAAAATCAATGCACTGAAATTTCATGTCTTACAAATTACTGTAGGAACCAAGTAAAGACGAATCTCTCGGCACACCTCCAAAGAAACAAACGGGGCCAAAAGGTAATAATATGTTAGTTTTTCATTAATGCTTCTATTACTTTTATTTTTTAGTACTTGTCATTGTTATTATTATTATTATTGAAAAAATGTTTGGGATATAGGAAAGTGTACCCAAATTTGTACCCCAAGCCCATCTTCACCACAATCTTTTTGATATTTGAATAAAAAAAATTAAAGCTATCATAATAATTGTGTGATTAAATTAATGCTTGGGTACAACCTCGTGGTACAACCTTATTATGATTACTTGGTTAGCTTATTAGGTACTAATGAAGCTTTTGCATTGTATATATGCTCTCAGTGTCAGATGAATTTCCATTGGTGACTGTGTGCTTTGAGTACTCACTGATCATGACTTTGATTGTCGTTGTAAACGTTGCAAATGTTGGGATCGAATTGGACCCCATCATATCAAAGTTGGGAGTGGTCATAGAACTTCTTAAGTTGTTTCTCGCAATGCATTTGGCCACTCACCCACCAAAAGAATACAAATGTATGGGAAGGGAAATGCGATGCGTGGCTGATATTCTCCCCGTGGGCTTTGCCATGGCTTTGGCCTATATTTATCCATATCACATGGGATACGTTGTCGTTTTGTCTTGTTGGACCGTGCATTGCTACATACTCGTCCGTTTATGGTGGGGTGTATATAACTTGGTAGGTTTTTGGGATATCTTAGTGACAATGCCCGTGCAAATTTTCTCTTACTGGTTCGTGGCCCCCAAGATTGCCAACATGGATCATCCACTCGTGCTCTTTGCGATGGCACTTGGCTTCTGGACCACTATTTCTATCTATCGTACTCGTACCTCTTCTGGTCATCATCTTCCTCTAGTTTCTGAGAAATATGCCGTGTTACCTGATTGTTGACTCCTCCCAGCACCAATTGGATTTCTCTGTCTCAAAATAGAGTACGTGTTTGAATGCACATCTATTTAAGCTTTATTAGACTGATTATAATAGCAATACTTGGGTGCTTATGCTCCCACTTTTATCATACCAAGTATTAGACAACCAACAATTTGCATCTGTTGATTTATTGGTTTGGTATAAATTTTTTGATGTACTTTTAATTTTAGTTTTGAATGTAGTCATAAACTTGTACACTTGTTTTCTTTCTAATTCATTGATGTTACTTGTATGCATAGTTATCACGTTGCCTAGGCGAGTCGCGGCGCCAGTGTAACGCCATGACGCCTAGGTGTCTAGGCGCCCGCCTAGGCGACTAGTAGTAAATGATAATTGCTACACATACACTAATATAAATATATCACATTATATGATGTAGATAAAGTTTAATTTTCAAATTTCAAAAATTTAACATCCATATTTCGTCAAGTCTAGCCTGAAACCATATTTCCATCCTGGGTCGTTTGAATTGGCCTTTCGTTTTGGGTCGTTTGGATCAATCACTTCATTGTTTGACTGTTCTGTAATGGTATTGCTCTATAAACATGATAAAACCACCTAATTTAACATAATAAATAAACTATTCCAGCCATTTAGCTAACAAATATACAAACATTTTATTTTTTACAAAAGAACATTTAAAAAATTTAATTTTTTTACAAAAGAACATTTAAACAAATTATGTAATATGGCAGAGGAAGAATTAAAAAGTACTTTACAGTGGTTGGCAAAAAATTCAAAATTTTTTTGAAAAGAAGATTAAATCATTAATCATTATTAAGAAATAAACCTTTAAATAATGCTGAGCGAAGTGGAGTAATGGAGTGATACTATTTGAATAAACAATTTAATTAGGATCTAAAAACACAAAGTTACTGTAAATGTAAAGAGAGAGAGAGAGACTTACTGTGGAGCGAGACTGGAGAGAGCCGATCAGACGAAATAATTCCCAGGCTGGATTTCCGAATTCAACAAGAACGTGAGGCAGAGAGAATGGCGACCCAATTCCGCTCTAGAGAAGACGACCGCGACATCCCGAGAGATACCGACGACCGGGAGAGGGAGAGAATACGCAGTGATGAGAGGTAGGTTTGATATTTTAAAATCAATTGGGCTTGAGATAAGTTATTTTTTAAAAAATAATTAGGCTGGACATCTAAGATCAATTGGGCTAGGCTTTTTTTTTAATTTTACGGCGTAAGACCCCCCAGGCGCCGACTGGACGTCTAGGCATCCCTGCGGCGACGACTAGGCGAGCTCCGAAAATTAAGTCGAGTCGAAGGAGCATGGTGAGAAAAAAGTTCCGACTGGATGCCTAGGCGACGCCGTAATAACTATGCTTGTATGTATTGCCCACATGGTAATGTTGTTTGTGTCACGTAAAAATTGAGGTAACATTTGTATTATACGAAGTATTAGAATTAGAATATGATTTCAAGATCGAATGTCTTTCTTCTAACTTCATGTGCCGATCCTTAAGCTCTCTTAAACGTTGTGTGTGTGATGTGGATTATTATTTATGTTCTACTTTGATTGAACATTTGGAACCCATTATTCGAAGAATTTGATTGGTTTGAAAATGATGGAATTCGATGGGTTTAAAATTTGAAATGGGTTTACATTCAACTTTCATCCTTTTGTGTTTAAGTCTTCCAATGAGATTTTTTCAGTGCAGGAGGTACGTAGTCCCTGTGGGATTTTGATAGCTTTAGAGCTAAAACTAGGCACTGAGTTCTCCGGTAAAACGTTCTAAGGCGTCGCTCAAATTATTATTTAATGAGATCAAACTTAGTTTTTAAAATAGGGATGTTATTTAAGAAGAGTATTTACTCCCTCCCGTAAAAAGTAAATGACAAGTTCATTATTTATATGATCAAATTTTATTCATTATATTTGGTAAAACTAAAATATACTTCATAGACTATTGGAGTGAGCATAAAAAATTAGATTGCAAAATTACAGTGAAATAAGTTAAAATGGCAAATAAAAGACAAAAATATAGAGGATGAGCAGGAGATAAGAAGTGAATTATAGCCTTATAAAAATTAGGAAAAATTACTCAAAATAATTTTAACTTTACCCGGTCTTTCAAAAATAATCTCATCATTCACTGTGATGCATAATAATCCCAACTTTATTGAAATTTGCCAAATTTGGGTCGCCGTTAAGTTTCTAACGGAGAGTTAACAGAAATATCCGTTTTAGACAACAAAATGAAAGTTGAAATTATTTTTGATAAATTTTTATTTTTTTATTTTTTTTTGAAATTTTTATTTAAATTTTTTGAATTACTTTCAACCTCTTTTTCTTTTTCTTTTTCTTTTTTAAAGATTATTCTTACCTTAGAAAAAAATAGATATAAAAATAATGAAAATGACAAAAATAACTAAAACAGTACAAATTAATCAAATAAATAATGTAATCAATAGAAATTGAACAGAAATTGGTAAGAAATAAAATAAATATATACGGAATGGTGGGTTTTAACATTTTACACACTATACGAAGTCCTAATATAATATACTACTTATTTTTTAAAAGAACAAGCCATCTGGTAAAATTGGAATTATTGTAGATAATTTTTTCTAAAAAATAAGTAGTGATATGTTAATACTTTGTATAATACGTAAAATATTAAAACCCACCCGTATATTTTTATTTTACTCTTACCAATTTTAAGTCAGTATCCATTGATTACCTTATTTATTTTATTATTTTTGTATCATTTTAGTTACATTTCTCATTTTTTCATTTTTATATCTATTATTTTTATTTTTTAAACTAAGACTAATCTTTAAAAAAGGAAAAAGAAATGATGATGGAGGTAGAGAAAGTAATTTAAAAAATTTAAATAAAAAATTTAAAAAAATGAAAAAAAAATGAAAATTCATCAAAAATAATCACAACTTTCATTTTGTTGCCCAAAACGGGCATTTCCGTTAACCCTTCGTTAGAAACTTAACGGCGACCTAAAATAGGCAAACTTCAGTAAAGTTGGATTATTATGCATCACAGTGAAAAGTGAGATTAGTTTTGAAATACCAGGTAAAGTTGGGATTATTTTGGGTAATTTTTCCTAAAAATTATTATTAAGGTGTGATTGTATTAGTAAGGTCTTAGTACATACGGAGTACATCCTCCGTACATATTTGTATTAAAAATTTAAATATTGCTCTAGCTATGAATTTACGCCTACATCGTTAGTATTAATATAAGTTTTTCCTTATAAGAAATAAAATATCTTAGTTTATTATACTAAAAGTATGTAGATAGAATAAATTTATACTCCCTCCGTCCTAAAACTTTCTTCCCACTTCCCCTTTTTCTCCGTTCTAAAACTACATTCCCATTAGAAAAAAAGATGACAAATGACATTAATACCCTCATGTATTTACACCAATTATCTTCTAACTCTATATTTTGAATGCTTGTAAAAAAAATTTCAAAAAATCTTTTTTAAGGAGGGTAAAATTTGAAGTCAAAGACAAAAATTAAAAATGGAGAAAAGTCAAACTGGGAAGAAAGTTTTATGACGGAGGGATTACTACGTAACATATAGCCCACCATTAGAAAAGAGGATGGAAAGAGTGAGGAACTAATAATATATATATATATATATATATATATATATATATATATTCTCTTGAGAATGAGATTTCATTAAAGAAACGAGAATGCATGTGTTGTTCTAGAATGTCAGATTTAAGAGCCATAAAATTCAAAAAATAAGAAAAACATAAAGAATTGGGGTGGCAGTTTTGTAATTACATTGAACTTTATAAAATGCACTACCTTTGTTGAACTATGCACCGTGGAGAAGTACATGCTTTTTATAATGTACCATTGGTGAAGAAGAATGCACCATTACCATTTCTCTCACGAAGGTCAAATCTCATGGGACCTGGCCCTAATATACACATACACACACACTCACACTCACATACAGAGGGAGAGAGAGAGAGAAGTGAAAGAATTAAATGTGGGTACGTGTAATACCCTGCTTTGAAATTAAGTGGATTGAGGAAAGAAAAAGTTCAAAAAGATTGATAGCACTACTCATACCAATAAGGTGTATATTTTTTTCGAGAATTCATCAATTAAAAATTCAAAAGCTAAGCATGCTTGATCTGAAGAAATTTCAGGATGGGTGATCACTTGGAAAATTTCTTGGGTTTGCACGAGCAAGGACAAAGTGCGTAGGAAAGACTTGTGTTGGATTGTAGGGCCAGTCAACAATCCTAGGAATAGACACTTATGGTTAGGGCGAGGGCCCGGGTATTACAAATGGTATCAAAGCAACCCTGTAACCATGACGGGCCAATAGATCTTAGTTCACATAACGCGAAAGATATAAGAGTTTGAAAAAAAGAAAAAAAAGATGCAACGAGGACGTTGCATTCCTAAGTGGAGTGAATGTAACACCCTGATTTTAAAATAAATGGAATGGGGAAAGAAAATGTTCAAAAAAGACTACTCATACCAACAATGTATACCTTTTTTTGAGAGTTCATCAACTAGAAACTCCAAAGTGAAGCGTGTTTAACCTCGAGAAATTTTATGATAGGTGACCCCCTGAGAAGTTTATTGGGCATGCACGAGTAAGGACAAAGTGTGCGGGAAAGACTTGTGTTGGTTCGTGGAGCCAATCTACCATCCTATGAGTAGACACATACGGCTAGGGTGGGGCCGGCATGATATAGTACGGTTAGGGGCGGACCTAAGGCTGTGCAAGTGGGGTCACTTGCACCCACTCCAAAAAAAATTATTATATTTATTAGTAGTAGTAGTATGTAATTAGGTATTATATGTAGACTAAGGACATCCAAGAAGAGTATAATAGTATAATAGTACTCCGTATATAGCTAGGAGAGGAATAAATATTTTGGAAGGTAGATTGGTGAAACTAACTATTTAAAGGAACACAAACCTTATTAAACCCTAAACTATCTACAGGAAGGAACAAACGCACGATTAATTGGCAGAATTGCATGGATATGGCTACGGTTATTCTTCGATTTCCCCCAGTCTCTTTGCTCAATCCTTTTCGTCTCTATCATAATTATTGTTATTCGTTTTTTGAGATCTCCGTGGAACAAATAAAGTTCCATCACGGCGTCCTCTGGTGTAACGGATTCGTGGCATACCCGGTTCGGATTGGGCTTAGATCCGACGAATCGGTGCCCGATTAATCGATTTTTTTTATATTTTTTATTTCTAGTTTGGCTCTGCGATCTGCTTAGTTATTATGCGTTGGATATGTTTTTTCTGACAGTTTTTTTTGTTCTCAGAATATGTCCGGCCGGCTGTTTGGGTTAATTTGTTTTTATGGTTGTTTTCATTCTTGTTATTGCTGTCTGATTATATTGCTGTTTTTAGCTGTTCTTTTTTTTTATTCTTTTTTACTTTTCTATGTCATTTAATGTGTTGTCAATCCTATTTGTTGTTTGATATTATTTCAGTAAGAATAAGTAATACGGAGTACTTCGTAATAAGTAATAAGAATAAGTTGGGAAAGAACACGACCTCAGGCAATGGAATCGAAAATCAATAAATTGTTTATAAGAATGGATTATTTCAATGCACTGAAATTTCATGTCTAACAAATTACTATAGGAACCAAGTAAAGACGAATCTCTTGGCACACCTCCAAAGAATCAAACTGGGCCAAAAGGTAATAATATGTTTCTTTTCCATTAATGCTTCTATTACTTTTATTTTTTGAGTACTTGTCATTGTTTATTATTATGATTATTATTATTATTATTATTATTATTATTATTTTTATTGAAAAAAAAGTGTACCCAAATTTGTACCTCAAGCCCATGTTCACCACAATTTTTTTTAATTTGAATAAAAAAATTAAAGTGATGATAAAAATTGTGTGATTAAATTAATGCTTGGGTACAACCTCGTGGTACAAGCTTAATTATTATGATTACTTGGTTAGCTTATTAGGTACTAATGAAGCTTTTGCATCGTATATATGCTCTCAGTGTCAGATCAACTTGCGTGGCTGCTTGTGTATGGAAGCTCAATGTTGGTGACTGCTTTTGTCTGTTGTTATGAACCTGATGAGAGGAAATTTGACCCTATCATACCATTGTTCGTAGAGGCCTTAGAACCCATCAAGTGTCTCCTCGCAATGTATTTGGCCACTGGCCCACCAAAAGAATACAAATGGATGGGAAGGAAAATGAGATGCGCGACTGATATTCTCCCCGTGGGCTTTGCCATGGCTCTGGGCTATATTTATCCGCATCACATGGAATGCGTCTTCATTTTGACCTGTTGGACCGTGCAATGCTACATATTTGGTATATGGTGGGGTGTATATAACATCATCAGTGCTTGGAATATCTTAGTGACAATGCCTGTGCAACTTTTCTCCTACTGGTTCGTGGCCACCAAGATTGCCAACACAGATCATCCACTTGTGTTCTCTGCAATGGCACTTGGATTATGGGCCGCTATTTCTATTTATCGTACTTGTTGCTCTTCTCCTCGCCGTGTTCCTCTAATTTGTGAAGAATATGCCGTGTTACCTGATCATTGACTCCTCAGCTTTTATTATATTTCTCTGGTCTCAAAATAGAGTTTTTGTTTGCATTTCTTTTTTAAGTGTAAGTGCAAGTCCATCTCACGTCTAGTTTGCAATCCATTCAACAAATTTAATCATACAGTCATATACTCCGTAATTGTTATAGTTATCATGAGTCATATGGGGCAACCGGCCCTAACCGAATTGACCCATGGACTATGAAGCACTTTTTTGGTAGTTAAATGGTACTTAGGTGAGTTAATCAAGGGGCAGACTTATATGTATGTAGTTGGGGGCATATGTCCCCTACTAGTTTGTTGTAATAAGGTAAAAAAAATTAAATTTTATGTGTATATACCTCCAACAAAAATGAATGTGACCCCATCTAATTAGGTCAATGTTAAAATTTGTATTTTTAGTTGAGTGTATTATATTGCACATAATTAATTGTTTATGAAATAAAAATTCAAATTACATATTTAAAAATGTTTTGCATTCAAATACCTACAAATGATCCTTTTGCAACATCTATAAAGTGTTGCATTAGATAGCAAAAATACTACCATGTTGATTTAGGGATGGTTTCCCTCAGATGGAAAAAAAGGAAAAAATTATTTCTAAAATGAAACATGAAATTCCTCATAAGGAAAATCGCACATAATACCTGCGAATTCAAAAAAATTACAGATCTTTCAGATTTTGCAGTAAAATTGCGTGTAGAACATGCAGTTTGATTTTTTAATAAATTTGCATGTAGTACATGCGAAAATAATAGTAGCATTTTTTACCACCAAGTTTAATCATCTTTTCCACCTTCTACCTTTTTCTCTCCACCACATGTTTCAACCACCTCCTTCCCAACCATCTAACTTTACACACCCCTTCATCTTCTTAATTATTACTCATATTTTTTTTATTCAAACTACCTCCTCACCCACCATTTTAGTCACTCTTCAAATTTAACATATTCTAACACCACTTCATAACATTTAACATTTCCTAGGTATTTTTTATTACTTATACTTCACTTAGCTTTTAAATATTAATAATATTGATTATAGATGTTTTGTTTTTATAAATTTAATATAATTAAATTGCTTTTAAAATTTAGTTTTGAAATATCAAAATTTTCTCACATCTACTAATATACTTATGTTTATAAATGAAAAATTAAAAGATAAATTGAAATAGTATTATGTTCCATTTGAATTCAATTTGGTAAAAATTGAGTAAAATTGGGTGAAATTAAGTGAATTTTGTTCAATTGAGTGCAAAATTTATAAAATATTGAATATATTTGGTTGAAAATAGATAAAATTAAATTTAATAGGGTCAAATATAATTAATTTTACACCTAAATATAAAGGTGTAGATCAAATTTGAAAATGATAACACTAAATGTTACCGCTAAAGAGTCTTTTTAAAATGCTAAGACTAACATCTAATTTTACACACTATCCAATACACTTTTTTAATCCATTTTATTTTATAATTTGTATATTAAAAAATTATAGAAGTTATATATTAATAATCTATATATTAAGACAAATAAAAGAAGATCACACATGACTATATTTAGACTTACATATTGAGAGATTTTTTGATAAATCAAAGTACTTAGATAAACAGTTCCAAAAATTAAAAGTAGACAAACATTGGGTGACGGAGGAAGTATATTCTTTTGTTTTTTGTTTATTATGTTCATTCTTAGAAATGATATTCTACTATCTGACATTAGATTTTTATACTTCCTTTTACAACCGTATAATGTACAAGTCTTGCCAGAGTATGTAGTAAAGGTATTGCGCTGTGTTCCTTCCAGGGCTACCTTTTGTACCGATCGCGATCTCATATGGAGCCGGTGATGCTATTGCATTTTGCAAGCTCATATATTTTCTTTTAAATAAACACTGCTCATTAATACATTTATTTAACCTGGCCTTGACACACATGCTCAATTGTTTGGGTCATCTTCTAACATGTCTAATGATGTTCTTAGTTCATCGTGCTAGAATATTTATTAATTTTTTTAGTTTTTGATTTCCTATGCTTATTATGAATTTGAACTTTTTAATGTTCTTTTTTTGGTATGTAATTATGAATTAATACTTTTTATGTTGTTAATTTGTTATGTTTTTATTATGAAGTTCTCCATCTGTCTCCCAGTTTTTGTCTACTTTTGACTTTTGGAACTGTTCATCTAAGCAATTTGACTCATCAAATTTTCTCAATGTCTAAGCTTAAATATAGTAATGTGTAATTTTATTTGATTTATCTTAACATATAGATTATTAATATACAATTTCTATAATTTTTTAATATACAAATTATAAGATAAAATTGATTAAAGAAGTGCATTGGATGGTGTATAAAAATAAAAGTGAATAAAAACTGAGGGACGGAGGGAGCAGAATTTTTTACGTATGTTGTTAATTTGTTATGTACAATTATGAATTACGGAGTATAACTTTTTTAAAGGGTAATTTGTAATGTTTAATAATGAATTACTCCCCCATCCCCGAGTATTTGTCCAATTTTGACTTTTTTTGGTCAAAGTTGATAAACTTTGACCTTAAATTAAATAAAAATGATATAGATATTGATACAAAAATAGTTTTATTAGTTTTATTAAATCAAATATTTTCAAAATATTAGTTTATCTAATTAACATACATTATATATTTTATTTAATTATAGGTCAAATGTTAAAAACAGTTGACTGAAAAAAGTCAAAACTGGACAAATACTCAGCGACGGAGGTAGTATAAAGGCAACAAAAAATTGTTAATTTGATAATTTTTTAAAAATTCGAAATATGAAGGAAACAAAATAAATTCTTAATTTGATATTTTTTTTTAATTTTGAAATATGAAGGAAACCAAAAAAAATCTTAATTTGATAATTTTTTTAAATTTCAAAATAAGAAACAAAAAAAAATTGAATTTCATATTTTTGCATGTAGTACATGCGAAATCATTTAAAAAAACTAGGAAATAGTTAAAGTTTGATTTTGATGTTTTTGCATGTAGTACATGCAAAAATTCTGGGAAAAAAATATACCTGAGTAACAAGAAATCGCATGTATAACATGCAAAAATTTGAGTTGGGAATTTGATTGCTAAAAATTTCCCATTGAGGGAATTGCTCCGTTGATTTAGCAACACTCCTTATGGTGTTGTGTCAGGTCTTGTTGCATATGCAACACTTTAAGAAACATTTAAGTTCTAGTTCTAAGCAACACATTTAAATCTTCAAGCAACACCTTAGGTAAGTTACAACAAGGGGTATCACTCCACAAACACCATTTCAAAAGCTGCAGTGAAGATCCGGATTGCCGCTGGTCTGTCCAGCCCGGCAGCCATGTCGCCTCCAATCCTTCCCAAAGCTAAAAAAATAAGTTAGTAATAACTTCTTTGTCTAGTTTGTAAGTTAAACCAGACACCTGTGAACCTTAGAACTCTTGTCATGTTACCTTCCATTACATAGCCTTATGATCACAGTATATAATGTACTCCTTACATAATACTCCCTCCGTCTTAAAACTTTCTTCACAGTTTGACTTTTCTCCATTTTTAATTTTTGACTTTGACTTCAAATTTTACCATTCTTAAAAAAGATTTTTTTGAAATTTTTTTTTTCAATCATTCAAAATATAGAGTTAAAAGATAATTGGTGTAAATACATGAGGGTATTAATGTCATTTGTCATCTTTTTTTATCTAATGGGAAGGTAGTTTTAGGACGGAGAAAAAAGGGAAGTGGGAAGAAAGTTTTAGGACGGAGGGAGTAATTAATACTATGCTTTTGTGTACTCCCAACTATCCCTAGTACCAGCCATCAGGCCATGTTTGGTTTCCTGGGTTGTAATTTTATAGGACTTTATATAAGCAATGAGATCTATACATGAGCATTGTTACTTCATTCTTTCAAAGTGTTGTTTTTAGGGTAATTAGTAGGTAGTACAGTAGAACATGTTCTCTAAAGTAGTAGTATACCTCAAAAACATTTTCTTGGTGCATTTCCATGTTACTTTTATATCCTTGAGCCAATAACCTCCCAAGCAAAGCATGGCTGAACCCAGGGATTTCTTCAGAGAGCTTTGACAAGGCTCTATCCCAAGGTTACACACAAGTGAAAAAACAAATAAAGGGATGGATCAGACAGCATTTGGCTTCTCTAGTTTGATATTGTTAATGGATTATTCCCCATGATTTTCATATCCAGTTGAAGGTGAAGACAGTTGAAGAGAATGAAGGAAGTGTGATTGTTGATATTATATACATATATGATATATGGAGTCAGGTGAAAAGTGATGGGAATTACAGGGGAAACAAAGTATGCAATGAGATGAATTTTTCGTGGTAGGTCGGAAGAAGAAATGGAACATAATAGCCAACACAACTGGTTTGGGTGGGGGGTTTTGGGTATCAATCCAAGATTCTTTCATCCCCCTCTTGTGGTAGGCAATAAAGCATTGTGGGGTGGGGGAGGGGGTGATGGCGTGGCAGTGTGGATATGTGTTCAATTTTAAGTCCTAGAGTGAGATGTGGGTTTTATGATATCAAATCTCCAGAGTCCAGATGATCTGGTTCCTAATCTAGGCCAGTAGCAACATTAGACATACTATAGGCACACCAACTGAAAGCGATAAGGAACTCTCTGTGCAAATGAGATTCGATGGAGAGAACACCTTATGCAGCGAAACATGAATCTACATGCAAATTTGACGGTGTAAATTAGACTGATTCATGGATACCTCCTGCCCCATAGAAAAACACAAAACTTTCCACGTGCACACAAAAATTACCATATGCAATTACGATAAAATATGAAGAAGAAAGTAATCTAAATAGTAACCATATGCAATTAATTACTTTAGCACTTAACGAGCTCTCCTCGAAGCGATTGCATTCCAAATTTTGCTACGCAAGAAGTCGTTTTTCTTCCTGCAATCGCAAATTTGAGTTGGCAATTGAGGGTTGAATGGATTGAATGGTTGCGGGATATGAGCCTCTAGATCGATTTCATCCCGGCAGATGCGATCTGAGCTTCTGCGATTGGTATGGATCGGACTATCGGAGCTTCGCATCCTCCTGGCCTCCTGGGAATACTGCGATTGAAATTTCGAGTAGTAGTAGTATTACACCCGGGAGAAAAGGGTAAAATATAGGAGTATGACTTTATTATCACATGTTTTTATTTCTAACTAGATTTGTGGTAAAAATATCATCTCATGATACAACAATGCATGTCTGAATGACAAGAATATTTTTTTCGTTGCAAATCAAGATCTTCAATCTTTTTTGATTTGTCGCACGTGAAATAATGATTTAAAATTAACCATTAATTAAAGGCTGATTTTATAAGTAGTAGACTAGCCAACATGTGGCCACGATTAATCTTGGATTTTTTTACTGGGGGAGTTTTGGATTACAATTAATTAGAACTCCATGACCGATTGTTTTATCTTCTTAGGAGGGGTGTGTTAGAATTTAAAGCTTCGATGCAACCTATTATTGATTTACGGGCTATTTGTTTCAGCCTCTTAATGGTTTAGATGTCTGAATGATTCAGCACTTAATGGTTTAGGGACTGTTTGTTTCAGCCTCTTAATGGTTCAGATGTCTGAATGATTCAACACTTAATGGTTCAGACTGTTTGTTTCAGCCTCTTAATGGTTTAGATGTCTGAATGGTTAAAAAATTTGCCTCTGAATGGTTAAGTATTATACAGAGTCTGAATGGTTAAGAGCTCTTATCTGAATTGATCAGACATTTCCCTCTGAATAATTAAGCAATATACTAGCTCTTAATGGTTCAGACCTCTTACTGGCTTAGCATTTAATGGTTTAGACCTCTTACTGGTTCAGCACTTACCTATTCAGAAGTTGCCAAACAGCACTGTATGTTTCAGCCTCTTAATGGTTCAGATGTCTGAATGGTTAAGAGATTTGCCTCTGAATGGTTAAGTATTATACAGAGTGTGAATCGTTAAGAGATCTTATCTGAATTGATCAGACATTTGCCTCTGAATAGTTAAGCAATATACTAGCTCTTAATGGTTCAGACCTTGGTTCAACACTTAATAGTTTGAACCTCTTACTGGTTCAGCACTTACCTATTCAGAAGTTTCCAAACAGCCTCTTACTGTTTAATTACTTCCTGTTTTCTATCATTGAAAAGTCTCTTTATTGATAAAAGTCATCTTTTGTTAGCTAAAACCTTTGATCAAAAGTTCATGCATTGGAGGGGGAATTTTTAAAGCATAGAAGAGAAGAAATATAATGTACATACCACAACAAAAGTTTAATAGCTAAAGAGGGAGGGAGATCACTATAAATTTCTCTGTTTTATGATAGAAAGCATCCGATACATGAGCCACACTACAAACATGAAAACTTAATCTTTAAGAACAACTAAATGAGGTATAAACACTAATGACACACTTTTACTTTGTTATTCATCATCCTAATAATTAAACTAAAAAAAATTAATGAAGCAATGTGAAGCCTAAAGAAATTGCAGGTATTCACATATATAACAAAGAAATATAATAGAGGTATTGAAATTTGCATATGAAGAGTGTTTTTATGTGTTCAAATGGATTGCTAAAGTTAAGGTTGCTTTTTTTTTTGAAAAGTTAATTAATAAATGAAAGTCATGTTTGTGTACAAAGGATTACTCTGTTCAAATTTCAAAGAGCTTGAACAAAAGTTAATAAGCCAAAAAGTCTGAAAGTTAAGGTTATTCACTAATATATGAAGCATAATAAAAACCCAAAATATTGGTACTTTAAGACCTATATTAAAGTGTTAAGAGCAATGAAAAAAATATAGCCAAATGTTGTAGTATTACTTGGTTTCCTATTGAAAATTGCAAAACTGATACTACCCCCGTTTTTTAAAACAGTTCATCTTTCATTTTTTTCACTTCCAACAAAACACTTCCACTTTCTATTAAAAAACCATTTTTACCCTTACTTTTTCATACCCTACCTATCATATCATACTTTATCTCTAATAATCTATCCATCACATCTTACTTTTATCTATCACATCAAGGACAAAATTGGAAGTCAACTACAATTTAATACTTTCCTTATTTTTACACAAAGTTAAAATAGGAACACTTTTTCCAATAACGCTCTTTGTAGCTATTCAAACTATTTTGACACCCCTTTTATAAACTATTTTGTGGTTTGACATCTTCAAACATTTGAATTCATTCAAAAACTCAATTGTTATCCAATGGTCATTAACACTTACATTTAAATCTGCTTGGTATAAAGAATTAGAACTCGAGTATGTACATCATTTCATCTCCAAGAATATAATGAGGGATATGAAAAAATCATTTACCATTTCTACAACCTCAAGCATGGGTGACAATAGTACTCTATCCTCGAAAAAAAGAATAACTTTTCAAATTATCCAATATGTTTCGATAAGTGAAGTCCACTATACTTTTATTGAGATACCTTGTACGGAGTATCTAGAATTAGGGCTGTTCATCAGTCCAGAACCGGACCGGACCGAAGACCGAATCAAGATAAAAAGAGGACCGAAGACCGGACCTATTACTTGTCAGGTTCAGACCGAACCGGACCGATATTAATTGGACCGAACCGATTTGGACCAAGAAGACCGAATTGAGAATGTAAATAGAAAAAGCGGGCCACAAAATAGCCAAAACAACAACTCAAAATCCTGCAAATAACATTTTCTATTCAAAAAAAATTCATAATAACAATAAAAAGTACCCTAAAGTAAGGTGTAGGGTACTGAATAATGCAAATTTGCAATGGACAGTGGACTAGCAGTGATTGATAATTTGAAAACTTGAAATTAAAAATAAAAAAATCAATAAATCACCGATGTCCGATGGTAATGCAATCCTCATCTGAAGTCGGCTGGAGTGCGGGACTTAATACATCCAAAATACATATCGAAAACAAAGGTGTCGGCGGGAGTGGTTTCTGCTTCGCGTTGGCCGGCATCGCTGCACCACCGGCGTTAAATTAACAAGACGATGGATGATAGAATTGGGGTGACGGCTAGGGTTCAAGACTTAGTGTCGGAACCACCTCCATCATCCTCGAACTCTCCTTTCTCTCACTCCCTGGGCATTTTCGGATAAAATATTAGCTCTTCCCCTTCTGATTTCATGCTCTCTTGCGTCAAGAAGAAAGAGAAGAGAATGAATGGATAACAAATGAATGGCTTAGGTAAGGCCAGAGGGTGAGATTTCTACTTGGATGGGATAAGTGGATAACACATACGGAGTAACGGACATACGGAGTAATTAAGTAGTCGGTCCATTCGGTCCAGACCGAAATAATATCGGGTTTGGACCGGACCCGACCGAAACCCGAAAACTCAAATAATCAAGACCGAAGACCGACCCAAAATCTAATCGGTCCGGGTTTGGTCTGGACCTAATGGTCCGGGTTGGTCGGTTTTCTCGGTCTGGACCTAAACATGAACAGCCCTATCTAGAATCAAGAATACAGATGGAATTTCAACGCAGTGGTTCGATCAATCACTTGGCCTAGTTTTATATCTTCAACTTTGATTATCCAATCAGAAAAGGGTGACACATTTCATATGTTTCGGTATACAAAAAGTAAAACTAAAATAAATACGGAGAAAAGTAAAACTAAAATAACTGTCGATGTATGTATTAACTAGATTTTCGTTAGAATATTTTAATCAAGACCTCTCAAAATTGAATCTTTTGATTGTTTTTATATTTTAAGAATTCAATCAAATGTGAAGTTAATTAAGAAATATTTGCACTAAATAATACTCCCTCCGTCCTAAAACTTTTTTCCCAGTTTGACTTTTCTGCATTTTTAATTTTTGGCTTTGACTTCAAATTTTACCCTCCTTAAAAAAGATTTTTTGCAAATTTTTTTTTGCAATCATTCAAAGTATAGAGTTAGAAGATAATTGGTCTAAATACATGAGGGTATTAATGTCATTTTTATCTTTTTTTTCTAATGGGAAGGTAGTTTTAGGACGGAGAAAAAAGAGAAGTGGGAAGAAAGTTTTAGGACGGAAGGAGTACTAAAATTTAAGTCATTTTCTTAAATAGCACATAAACCGTTTTAATCCCTAAATAGCCCGCAATCCATAATGTCCATAATGACTAATGCATAATAACTAAAAGTGATACATTGAGAAGAAAAATACATGCAGTACTATTTAGGGAAAGTTATTCATGTTTTACTATTATTTAATTAAATCCCTACTTAATTAATATAGGGCTGGGATTGGATTAAAGTCATTCAACTCATTGCCCGTTGAAATAGAGTCTAGTGAGCATATGGTAAATCAGTACCGCTGGCTTTTGAATTCATTGTCGTCTCATAGTATTTGTCCACTTTCATTTTTACATACCATCCAAATCTCTTCTTTACTCTATTTTATCTTGTATTTTGCATATTAAAAAATTATAAAAATTATTCCCTCCGTCTCTAAAGAATGTTCTATTTTTGACGTTTTGAGGATTTAAGGAAGAGATATTTTTGTATTAACTTTCCAAAAATATTCTTGATGTGATGTGTTAAAGTAAGATGTGATAGATAGATTATTAGTAAAAAGGTATGATGTGATAGGTGGGGTATAAAAAAGTAAGGTGTAAAAGGGGGTTTTAAGAGAAAAGAGAAGTTTATTTAGAGCATCCACAATGGTAGCATCCCTCACTAGATGTTGGAGTGTGGACTTTACTTTTAAAATGGCAATTGAGCACCTTTTTCAACATCTAAACCTTTCAATAGTGACATCTCATATGGATGCCTCATTTTATTCAATGAATGTAGTGGGTCCATATAAATATAATTATATTCTATTTTCTTAATTATAAGTATTTATTATATGATAATTTTTTAATTAAGATTAATTATTTACTCGTTATTATTAATATTACCTTCTTCCTAGAATATATATCTAATTTTTACTTTTTACATTTAAATTAGTAAAATTTGGTCTTTAATTAAAAAAACATATACTCTATCCGTTTTAAAAAACACTTTCTATTTTATTTTTTTCACTTTCAATAAAACACTTTCACTTTCTATTAAAAAACCACTTTTATCCTTACTTTTTCATACCATACATATCACATCATACTTTATCTCTAATAATCTATCCATCACATCTTACCTTTACCTATCACATGAAGGGCAAAATTGGAAGTCAATTACAATTTAATACTCCGTACTTCCTTATTTTTACACAAAATCAAAAGAGGAACACTTTTTCCAAACAGAGGGAATATTAGATATTGATATAAAATTAAATTTCTTAGATTTATGTTGTAAAATATTTTAAAATGTTTTTTATGTAATTAAAATATGATGTAGTTAATATTGTTTCAAAACAAATACCTAAGAAAATATTCCAAATAAATAAAAAATAGTCATTCCGTTAAAAAAGAGTTTGAAATCTAGAACATTGCCATATCTAATTTTTTGAAGTTGCCAAATCTAATTTAATAAAAAAACTTTCGAGCCTTCAAAAAAAAACTATAGATGCAAACTTTTAAATTGAAAAAATAATAAATTGACACATGGCACATACATATTGGACCACAATACTTAAAAAACAAATGCCTCAATTCTTCCATCATCAAGCATCGGGTGCTAGCCCAAGCATCTTCATTTTATTTTTCTCTTTGAGCATCTTTATAGAGCATCTATCTACAATAGTAGCATTCATCAACATCTCACTCTCTCTCCTCCTAGCATCTCTTTTGAGCATCCCCTTGGAGATGGCCTTAGGGACAAAGAAAAAACGAAAGAGAAACTTTATTTAGGGATGGAGGGAGTATTTATTAATAATCTATATGTTAAGACAAATCAAATAAAATCACACATGACTATATTCAGGCATACACATTGAAAGAATTTTAATAAGTTAAAGTGCTTAAATGAACAGTGTCAAATTAAAAGTCAAAAGTGGACGACGACAAATTAAAAGTCAAAAGTGAAAGAATTTAATAAGTTAAAGTGCTTAAATTAACACCTTTACTATATGTTGCGACATATGGAGCATCATCTTTATGATGTTTATTCTTCTTAGCATTAATAAAAAATTAGATATGAAATTTACTTCAAGTAATAATTTCCTCCATGGTCATCTCTTTTAATTTTTATTATGGATCTTGACATTTCTATTCATACATATGTATTGCTGCAAAAGTTGCATTATACTCCGTATTAATTAAGAATTTGCCCCATATTTTCCCATGAGTGCTCATTAGCTTCACGTTCATATCCGGAAAATGAGTAGCTTTCCATTCATAACCAAGCCAATCAAATAAACTCCAATATTGGCTTTTTGATCAAGCACATTTGTATAACATATGGGTAATATCTTCATCTACATTATATTGTTACAATTATCCAGACAAAGCCAATTGAAATTAATTTCTTTGATAATCTATGAGAAATTTACTTAAATAGAATAAAAACATAATGACTTTCATAATATAGGACTATATGGAGTCATTATGAAAGTCTTTATATTTTACGAGTAATTTTTTGTAAAATCTATAGTTAAAAGCAGGGGAATTTTGGCCCAACTTTTCTCGCTCAAACAATGTGTCATTGTGAACCGTTGATTAGCTTTGACATCTTGATCAATGGTTGATTATTATTATGGATATTTCATTGGAATAATAATAAAACCGCAGGATAAAAATGGTAATAATAAAAATCAGTAGAGAAACATAAATGCATCTACAACAAAAAAAGGAAACACATTTATTAAATATGGACCGTGTGTTTTATGAAAAAAAGGAAAATGCATTAGGATCTCTATGTATTCTATTTAAAAAAGGAAAACTTTATTTTTGGTAAAATCCGTGTGTATTTAATAAAGAGTTTGAGAAAAAGGAAAAAATTAATTAAGAAGTTGAAGCGTATGTAATGTTAAAAAAGGGAATAAAAATAAACACATTTAAAGAATTAAGTGATATAAAAAAAATAAAGATCTTGATTTTTAAAAAATGTTATTGGATCTACGGTTCTTATGCATTACCAAATACGGAGTATCAAATTGTCTAAATATGCTAATATTGAAAAAAGCACAATTAACAACAAATGCTCCGTGGATTATTAAAAGGAAAAGAACTAAGAAAGAAAATCAGCCGCTCTTAAGTAATAATAATATGAGATCTATGTTTAAGGTAAGATTTAAGAAAGGAAAAAAAATGTAAAGTAGTTAAATAAAATGAAGAAATTAATACTAAAAATTAATTGATGATAGAAATCTACAGGTGGAGCAATATTTATACTACCTTCGTTTCTGAGTATTTGTCCAATTTTGACTTTTTTTGGTCTACTATTTTTAATCTTTGACATATAATTAAATAAAATATACATTGTATTTTAATTAAATAAAATATATATTGAAAATATTTGATATAATAAATCTAATAAAACTCTTTTTGTATCAATATCTAATATCATTTTTTTAATTTGAGGTCAAATTTTACCAATTTTGACCAATTTTGTAACAATATCTAATATCAATTTTGTATCAAGTTTCCATTTATTTTTATTTAATTTGAGGTCAAAGTTTAACAATTTTATTTATTAATTTTAGAAATGGGACGATTTAATACCACATAATATTTCATGATGAATTAGTATGCCGCATTAATTCCAATACGGGGGAGTTAATTGTGATACCTTAAATAGAATTTATTAAATTGGTAGTTTACGAAGAAGGACAACCATAGATCTAATGAAATCAATGGTGCTAAATGAATGTGCTTTGAGCGGGAAAAGCTTGAGGCAGAATTCCCCTGCTTTTAAGCTTGGGACTTTGACCATGTGTAATTATTTATGTTCCCATTATAATTTATCATGAGTATAATTTGTAACATAAATTACATTAATGCATACGGAGTATATAGTATACTATAAATGTAAGAATAAATAAAAATAAATGGAAACATGTAAAATTGTGACCGTGTAAAATGTACTACGTGAATGGTAATGTAACTAATGACTAAAAATGTCAGGATTATTAATAACCATATAACATGTGGCCTTATTAAATGGTACCATTATTAATAATAATAATAGTCCGAAATTAAATGTTAATTTTGTTGCACGGTACTTGGAAGAATACAGTAATGGTTAATAAATAAGTATTGTAATTAAATGGAGTGTTCTAAATAAAATGGGGATGAATACGGTAATGGTAAGTAGATAAATATTCTAAATAAATGGAGAGTTCT